TTTAATTTTTTAGAAACCGAATTCTGGATTTTCACTACTTAGTTAGAGATCAAATTTCTGAGTGTAAAGAATTGACTATTTTTTAAAATGAATTTAGGAATTAAGTAGAAATTTGGTTTTGCCTAAAATGTGATCAGATCGTAGCCAAATCTCCCAAAGCAGCGAGAACATTTCAGCAACAAAGCACTACAAAGTGCTTTACATTGGCCTGTCACAATAAATAATTTTGTTGGAAGATAAATTGTTCCAGACATTATTGCGATAAATGATACTGTTTTTTTGAAATCATTTTTAAGAATTATAACGGTAATGGTGAAATAATAATGCAAGAACACATTCTAAAGATCAGTACATTTTTAATTTTAATGAAAATTTAACACTGGAACTTATAATATCCTAAATAAATAACACAAAAAGTGAAATACATTTTTAAGTATTTGTAAACAAAATTGTCCTTCAAAAAAGAGGGCTAGCTGAGACTAAAGCACCAAACTGAAAAACTTTTATCATCCAGTTTTTGGTGGAAAGAGAGAATAAAAAGAGACAAATGATAAATCATGCCAAAGGAAATTATTGAACATTTAATTGATTTTTTGATTATTGTGCCAGATCTAGCTTTACATGATCAAAACATAACACAATAATAAACAATGATACAGTCGGACTGTATAATTGTATTGATTCTACGATATTTATCGATTTTTCCACCCTCGGAAGATATTGATTTTTCATCCACGAGTATCGATAAGTTAAACCATAGGGGTCCACAGGCTTATACTGTCTTTTTTACATGCCTGGTTTGAGACGACGTAGCAGCAAGACTCCGCCTCCCCCATCTCACTTTCAACTTGTGCTTAAAGTACACATTATACACTGCACACCCGTTTTTTTTTAAAATTGTGTTAATAGTCCAAGAAACGAAGTAAAGTTGCGTAAGTAATCATGAAAGAGAAGCAGAACGGAGAAGCGGCAACAGCAGTGAGATTGCAAAATGAATGCAAAGTTTGGATATCGGAGCGACAAGTGGCGTCCACTTCGTAATTTGTTTTTAGCTTAGTGGTTTCTGTTCTGTATATAAAAAATTACGTGAAGAATGAACACGCAGCATGCAGTGGTGCTCTGTTTTGAGCTGGAAAACGAAGAGGGGATTGAGGATTGCCAGGATGGTGAATCGATCATTCTTATTAGCAACTGACAAAGAGTATCAGAGATTGAGAGTACCATGAGATCCTGGCAGTCTGAGAGGCAGCTACTCAAGAGATCCAAGCAGGGGAATAGCGGCGCTGCACAGCTGCAAGGACTCGATCAATACGGGGTGAGGCAGAGCCACTCCTCCAGCTGCTAGTAGTAAACAGCTTACAGCCACGGCTAACTCCGTGAGCAAAGGTAGAAAAGCCTTTTCCCTATAGTCCAAAATACTTTTTTTGACTCCAACGCAGCCAAAGTATGTCCAAAAGAAAAACATAAGTGCAATCATTTGCATATTGAGAGTCTACAGAGGCTGATGATCTCCCCACTCAGCTCCTGGATCACTGTTGAAACTTAGAGTTTCATGTCAAATTCACATGAATTAAATGACAAAAACTAAATTTCTCTCTGCATTTTTGATTCATTTTGTCCAGCTGTAGATCGTTAGTCTCTGCCCAATCAGAGTCAAGTATTGTGTAATTGGTGTTTTCAATCAGTTTTCAGTTAATTAAATCCAAGTCTATGAAACACAAAATGTCACTAAAATCACTCTGTCCTTCTAAAATCTTTCAGAAAATTGTAAAAGTGCTTCAAATCGCATCGAATTGCACCCTCTGCCAAATGTTATGATACATATTATATCGTGATCAGAACATCATATATCGTATTGTGAAATTATTATATTGCTACATCCCATGATACAATGGCAAAAGAGAAGCAATGGAAAGTTTCTATCCAGAGAATAGAAACGATCAATGTTCTTGTTATTAATTAAAGGAAACTCTTCTCAGTGTTTCCCATTGACAGCTGGCTCAGATAAGATTATCAGCTATTGATCTCCTCTTGCATCTGCCAACCAGAGTACGGACTGATGTCATGCTCTGCTCACCTGTGCACTTTATCGCAATTTGATACACTGGAGAAGGTGAGCAGGGTGGCTGCATTTCGGCACCTCATAATACAAAATTGATGATGACATACACCATTAACCTTCGCCCTGATGATACACTGCTACAATATAGCACAGATCCAAGATCAGTTAAGCAAAACAAGACGGTAAAAAGGTCAGCTGCAAACTTGCCGTTATATCGAATAAATGTCTTTTTAGCAAAGATTTGACTTGTCAGTAAATTAGACATTAGTAAGAGGTTAAGTTTTGTTTGTAAACTTAAAAATGATTTGTAGATATTTAAATTAAGTCTAAAATATATCTTAACAAATTCCTCACAACTCTTTTGGGTCGTTCTCATAGCCTAGTCATTCAACACTTAAGTTCAAGAGTGCCGTCATTTGGATAGTTGGTTCACTGAGAACAAAAAGATCAATCTGAGTATCATCTGCATCTGATCATGTTATGCAATGAATCATATGACCTGGATGTTACAAATGTAAGGTGAATAATAGAGGAACAGTGACAAAGCCCTGTTGGAGTCCACAAATCTATTTGAGCAAAAAACGCTTTAAAAGGTAGAATAAAATAGAATAAAATACAAAGCGCTTATTGACACTGTATGCAATAAGCCTTGCTGCAAGCACAACTAAATTACTATGACTACATCCGGGCACTTCGGTTACAAGCATTTCACCTTCCCAAGCTGCATTTTCTTTTGAATACTTTGGAAATACTCGTCGAAAAGAAAAAAAATTAAATTAGCAAACAGGCAAGTTTTCCACTAAGTCTATTAAGTTACATCCCACAGAAAAATGTGTGAATAGCTGGGGCTGTAAATTCTTATCTAACCTTTAAGAGATGAACTGTACTCAACCGATTACAACTTTTGAAAGATTCTTGAAAAAAAGAGGAAGAAAAACATGAGTTCATGTTTTTCATAACCTCAAGTAGTTTGAGGTTGTGATGTAGTCGAGGGCTATGCTCAAAGACCATGCATATCAACAACTGTAAAAGCAATGTACACTGATTTACGAATAAAATCATTTGTAATAATACAGAAAATGTCCATATAAACTGCCAATTAGCTATATTTTACCAGTTCACCTTTTGACTATAACAATTTCAAATTCTATCTTTTCAATGCCAGTCTATAGATAGTCTTTTTTCTGTTTATTTTCAATTATAATGTACTGTCATATGATTCTACATTGTTTTTACTTCCACTGCTTTATGTTTTTATTACACCAATATTTTGATTTTGAACCGTGTTTTTTTTATTTTCTTATTGGAACATATACTATACTTGTATACAGTAATGTGTGACTCTCTTGCTAAAAGGAAAACTATGGCTATTTTTGATTCCATGCAGTTTTGTTATTTTCCTTTTCAGACTTCGACGTACCACATGTATTGGCGATGTAGGAGTTGTTATGGAGAAGGGACTGAGCCAGAACACACAAAATGAGCCATGTGTTTAAGCAGGAGAGGTGTTAGCTTAGCACAGCTTACAAGTGACCTGCAAAAATTGACTGCACTGCTTTCTGTTAAGAATATGCATTATCACAACGACAATTGCACAAGCAGCATTTCCATCGGCAAGAAAATAGCTGACACATTTTTCGTTTTTGACCATCTCCATAGTAATATGCCTGTATCCAGCTCACTGTACTTAAAGCTGACACACTTCAGGCCAGACGATAAAACAGAAAATCTTTTGTAAAACCTGCAATTGGCTCAAATATTAGCTCATTAACAGAGCTCTGATAGTGTGTTTTTTAGACTCCTGTACCAAAAATTCACCAGTGACAACATGCTTAGTTAATTAGAGAAAGGTCTTACTTCCACCAACAATTAAATTTACAATTTATCCTAACACATAATTGAAAAAAATGCAAGGTAAAATGATTTTATTTGGAGGCAGAATTTTGTCAATGGTTATTTTTAAAATGACTGAAATTCATATTGTACACTAACTAATACGACCTTTCAAAAACTAAAACAACTATTACCAGTTAATTAAATGTGCATACATTTGTTATGCACATTTTAAAAATTGTTCCTTGAATGAAGATTTTTGTAAAATTACAATTTAGACGGAATTTTGGTTATACTAGTTTCAATGTAATTTGATGTATAAACCTAAATTCCCTTGTTGCTTAAATGTCTTATGCAAATACTTCATGATGATGATTAAAAAAAAGAAATGATAGCAGAATTGAAATGACAAAGGCTGATCTTGATTGCTTTTTCTTTTTCTCTGTTGTTTCAATGCTTGTTTTCACAAACAACCTTTGGAAATTTCAGACACCCATTAGGAGGTGGATTAGGCTATACCAGATAAATGCATAGCATATACTCTTCGTTACCATCTCTGCGGAACAGATACAGCAATACTGCTATGTAACATGGGAGTATTGTTATAAGCGGTTCACAAAATGATGTACGGCAATAAATAACGCCAGGCTGCAAAGCAAACGTCACATGGCCATAATGAGACACTCAAATGACTGAGTCCGCAAACTTGTCATTAGCTTGTTACAGCCAGATTAGTTTATCTGGGACCAGACCAAACACTTTGTTTCACTTGTGATTGGTTCAATATTCTTGTCAGGTTTACTAACGGTAGCTGAGTCACTCGGAAGTGAAGTTATTTGTCCAGGATTTATTTAGGAAGTAGTGTACATGTACGCTAACATCTATGCACAACACGGTTTATTTAGCAATGGCCAAATAGCTGGAGGAATTTGGCGTTTCTGTGCTAAATATCAATCCGCTGAACTCCACTCCACGCCACTCCACGCTGCTCCCTTTGCTCGCAGGCCTACTTTGCTGGTGTGTTAATGTGAGCTAACGTTAGCCAGCATGCTAACGTTAGCTCCTCTTTGGGTTGTCAAACTCGAGCTAATGACATGCTACTTACCTTTTCTCCTGCGCTGTGCGAGTGAAGTTCCAATCCCGGCTATCTGGCTTCGCTACAAGTTAAAGATATGCCGTTAACCAAGCTACCCGCAGAAGTGATGTTAGCCAGCTAGCTGAGTTAATGTTTCCTTATTCTAGAAAAAAAAAAAAAAAAAAAAGATAAATCGAGATTGGCCTCAGTTGAGCGGCGGTAATTCGTTTCTCGGCGGTTCCCTGCTTGGACAGCGTTGGTTTTTACGCATGTTGGACGCCAACTCTTGTCACTCACAACAGGTGAAGACAGACCGCGATTGCCCCAAACAAAATATGAAACCTGAGACTTGGCTTAATATTATACAACACTGACAAATCTAGCACTTTCTTCCATTGAAAGGCCAGAGCTATCCTTCGACTTTGGGTGCTGAACAAGAGGAGGTGCTATTTTTGGCATCTCCTTTGTGATTGGTTGAAGCCTCTGGGCAAAACAACGTTTAATTGGCTGAATCTTATGTCAGTTAGTTCTACCCCTCGCTATTTCACAATTTCATTGGTCTATTAGAAACTTCTTGTGTGTGACGGAAATGCGGGATGCGCTCGTAATGTTTTCGTGCGTCCGCCGGAGGATCTCTGAACGGGCGGAGTAAACCTTTAAATAGTGGCTTTCCACTTCGAAGCCCAAGTCGATTAACCTCATGATGTTGGTCATAAACGAAATCATGTAAATAACACACCACAGGCTTTTTAGAGAAACATTCGAAAGTTTAAGTTTGAAAGTTGTTCCAGAAAAACTCCCCGTCCTGAAGTAGATAACGAGCGTCCGATCACTTACATGGAGCATGAATTGTATAAGAGGTTTGAAAGAGAGTCTCCACCAGTGGTAATGGTTAAATCATAAAATGTGTTTTAAAGAATCTCCAGTAAGTCCTGAATAATTAAATCCATGTTTATTCTGATTTGTATAATGTTCTTTTCACATTTGTTTCCATCTAAGATATTACTAATGCAAAACAAAACACACAAAGAAATTATTTAAATGTGGAAAAAGGAATTGCCCCTAAACATAATTGCTCATGCCCCTTTGACCCCATAACTGATTACTTGAATGTGTCGTTTGCACATGTGCCCATTTTTCTTTTCAGAATTATTTTAATTCAGCGACATTGGAGGGTTTTCAAGCATGCCAGGGGATGTTAATCTGATTTAACGCCATAGTAGACCGCTGGGAAAACTGTTTTTAAGCCATTCAGAGGCGAACTTGCTAATCACAGGGGGACATTTTTCTTCAAGATTTTCTCCTGGAGAGTAAAGATTTATGGATACATCCATAACAACAAGTCATCCAGGTTATGAAAAAGCACAAACCTCAGACTTTCATGTTTGCCCACTATGTTCTTTTCCTGAATGCTGCCATGACATCAAACCCTTTTTGTCTCATTGGTTAAAGAATAGTTTCCTAAAAGTGTTGGAGATAATCAAGATGTCTTTTTCTTTTTGTTGAATCTGGAACGCAGCTGAAATCGGGTCTGGTCTGAGGTAGCTTTTCATCAGAGTGGACAGAAGTCACATGTGAGGTACCCCATGGTTCTATCCTGGGGCCCCTTCTATTTAAAATCTACATGTTTCTGCTAGCTCAAATTTTAACAAATAATAAGATTAGTTACCTTACGATGTCATCAGGTGACTATGAGCCAAATCAAATGTTAAGTAGATGCATAGAACAAATTGCTATAACTTTCTTATACTAAACAGAAACAGAACCGAAGTTACTTCCTTTGGACCTAAAGGGGAGTCAATATTTTAGATCAGGCCAGAAGTCTGGTGTAGTGATGGACTCAAACCTGAATCTTCAGAGACACAAAGGCCTTCTATCACCTGAAGAGGATTTCCAGGACTAATTTCTCAGGTAGAGAAACTCATCCATGGGTTTATCTTTAATGACAAGACTATAAATTCCTAAATAGCTTAAAATACATTAACCCTCTCCAGGAAGGTGTTGCAGATTTGCAACAATTTAGCAAGTAATTTGAGCCTGAGAGGGTTAAAGACCTGATGTCGTTGAATCTACCTTCCAGACCTCTCAGGTCTTCTGGTTGTATTCAGTTTTTATTCTCTTCTAATCTGGAATAAACTTCCAGAAAGCTTCCAAAATACTTAGTATCTTTAAGTCAAGGCTAAAAACCTGTTTGTTTGAAGCTTTGATTAATTACAACTGAATCTTTGATTTGGTCTTGTCTGGATTACAACTTTTTATTGCTTCTCTTTCTTTTTGCCACTGTAATGTAATGCGTCTTTGTGTTATTCTTTTTTCACGTGAAACTGTCTTGACAAATTTTTTTGTTGTAAAAAAATGGTTGAAATAAATCACGTGCTGCATTGTAACACTGATGTATGAAGCTGATTTCAAATGAGAGTTTTAATTCAGATCAGACACAAACTGATGAACTCATCATGCCTTCAGTGTTCTGTGAGATGGTCTTTATCCCCAAGAATATCCAGAACTTAAAGATCACATACATTTCATTATTGTGAGCAACTTGCAGAAATGCATCCTGGACTGAATAAAACTGGGTTGTGCAGATTAAGTTATAATATGAGTGCATGTATAAAGATGTTTTGTAATAGCCCCTGAGTGAAACTGTGTTGTGTGGCCAAAGCGGGGCTTATCCGTTGTCATTTTGTGCTTCTCCCTCAGGATTAGACTTGTGTCTTATTAATGAAAAACTCATCAGATATCAGAACAGCTCCCTGAGGAATGAGTCGGGGTTATGAGACACATGTTAGATAAAGACCTTGAGCGGGTTTATGTGTGTGTGTGAGCAGAGGAGAGTGGTATTTAATTTTCTAAGATGAGGGATTATCACTGGCAGAATTTGATCATTCCGGCTCTGATCTCAGGATGTTCAATCGCAGCTTATCCCAAATATTAAACTCTCTGTCTTTTGTCCCCCTTTTTTCAATCCCGGACACACAAACGTGTTTCCACAGATGCTTACGCCGCTCCAATTACCGAGCTTCTCATTGAGTAAAGTGGCCCGCTGAGCCCTCCGTCAGGGGTGTGTGCTGTGTGATTGTTCAAACACCTGGTGACCTCTCAGGATCTGGTGGGGGCAGCGGGGGAGAGGGCATCTTAAAGAGGCGGCTAAGGAGAGTAAATAAAAAAAACACACACACAAGTTAAATCTAATCCAGTACACCAACAACAAGTGGCGCACACACATAAAATCTGATGCTTACATGGATCTGGGTGAGCTTAAACACACCACAGCACACCCACCCTGCTGCTAAATGCCCCGTGATTGTGTCTCAGGCCGGAAGGAGAGGGACGTACCAAGCCCTGATCTGCACTCTCATTTTCTGCACCCAGGACAACTGGGTCACATCATTACGGCAATCTTCTGCTTGTTCATTCCCAGCTTTGCAGGGGCTTACAGACACGGATGTGTGCTTAGCGGCTGACGGGCATGAGAGGTTAAATGAAAGAACGCCTTTAAGGAAGATTAAAATGATTGGTAGGGTCTTTGGTTAGTCAGATTAACAGGACGTGGCGAAAGAAGTGAGCAGTCCTCAAAGATTTTGGATTTTTTGGAGAAAGTCCATGTGCATTATATTGGGGGAAAAAAACTCTAACTGAATAAATATCAACAAATCTGATTACATGAGTTTGTGGAAACTTCTGCAGTTTCATTCTAAGTGTTGATTTTTCATGTTTACAGGGTTTTGTTTCCTCAAGCGTCTCGCCAAGCTAATACAGGAAAGTATTAGATGGAGCTATATCGCCCTCTAGTGGTGGTCAACTGGTTTCATTTCTAAGTAGCAGTTCCATTAGATGATCAGCAGGGGGTGCTACTGAACCGGCTATCTTCACATCCGGGAGCCATTTTGACCCTCACTCCAGCCAATTAAAGTCTGTTTAGAAATGTTACATGAACTTTTGAGAAAATAAAAATAATGTGTTGTCTTCTTCAAAAAAATCTCAATTTTATTACTATTTTAGGTTTTAAAATAAAGAAAATGGTAAAACGTTTGCAAAAAAAGAGTAAGAAAGAGGAGAAGGATGGACACAATTTCTTCTATGGGGTATTAATATTTATGGAAAAATGTAAAGAAATAAAGCTTGTAGTTTCCAATATAATGATAAGAAAAACAGATCTAAATAGATGTAATTCTAGTGTCATTCTGATGTGGAACTCCAATGTAAATACTCCAAGAAAAACTACAAAAACATGCATTTGTTTTTATATAATTATTTAAAACATTAGTTGGTTATTTTAAATTCTTGTTTTAGCGTATGTCTCAAAAGTCTGGCCTTTGACTGGGCCACTCTAGAACACAAATATACTTTAATTTAAACCAGTATGCTGAAGCTCTTGGCTCTTTTTCTTGTCTTTTTCAGCCTCCAATGGGTTTTCTTCCAGGATAAGTCCAATCTTACTGCATGATGCTGCCACCATCAATTTTCATGGCGTGTTTCATGGTTTAGTTTTTCTAATATTTTACATTTAAGACTAAATGTTTCGGTGAACAGTTGTTTCTTTTTTGCAGTGTCGTGTCCTATTTACATTTTAAGATGATGGATTGAACAGTTGTAGGAAGCTGACAATATTGCTGCCCAAATCTGCTTTATACTTTTCCATAACTTTATTTCTGACCTGTCTGCTGTGTTTCTTGATCTTTGTGATGTATTTGTTGTCTAATGTTCTTTATCAACCCTCTGAGTAACGGATAATGACAAATTACACACAAGTTGACTTTTTTCCTCCTATAAGAGACAATAGGTTTTATTTTGCGGTAGATAAAAGAGGTCTGAGTACAGAGACATGTCGCACTTTTCAGATTTTGAGGTATAAATGAAATAAAATGAAACCTAATATGATTTCCTTTCCACCTTGTTAGTTCTCAAGTTTGTTTTCTACATCAGTAGCTATAACTTTAAAAAATAACTATTTTGAGGAAGAACTTTATATATCCTAAATTAGAAATGTCTGGACAGGATTATGAATGTATTAGATTAATTAAATGCTCATATTTTATGTCTGTGTGTGTAATTACCAATGGAAAACATTAACACTCGCTTATTAAGCTCCATGTTTCGTGAGTGTCGTTTAACTTCATCATTCGCTCCTGATGAGTTCACGTTGCCTGGGAGAATTGAGGTTAAAAACTCTGCTCCAGGTGAGGCTCGAACTCACAACCTCGGCATTGCTTCGCTGCATACTGTCATATAAGTACCGCGCGCTAACCGATTGCGCCACTGGAGCTTCAGCCGTCACCGGCCGGAAATTGGCATTAAGAATAACCCTTGACCTCACGCGACGTGCGCATGTCCTGCGGTGTCGCTCTTCTCGTCAGGTGACTCAACACAGACCATATAAGGTCGGGGGTTCCGGGTGGTCACACAGTTCAGTGGGATTTTCTCACAGCTGACTCTGC